TAGGATGAGCAATATCTTGTCACATGTTCAGCAGGACGTGCTCAACATATATTTGTAGCAAAAGTGGTTGTGAAGCAAAAGTGAATATCCTTCGCATTCATCCCAGTAAATTGTCTGTGGCAGTGTGGACAAATCTATGTAAGAATCAATGTATCTTTCTTCTTAGGTACTGAATGGATTTACAACTTCCAAATATTTTATACTTTTCTTTTCTTTTTACAAAAGATTCTACTGTACTTTTATGATATTTATCCCTCAGACCAAGTTCATCGTTAAGTAAAGATTTATTTATTTTAAAAATATACGTTTTTCAATGTTGTTTTGTGTACAAAGTATTTTTGGAAATTGGCAAGATTTGGGAATAAAAAGGCAGTAAGCCCAAAAATGTATTGCTTTCATCCAATAATTTGCCCCATTGCCTTAAACATATCAGACTGGAGATGACCCTGAAATAAGCAGCCATACTATATGTACTTTAAGCGGCCATATTATGCTTTTTGGGTTCTCATTCATACCATTCACTTCGATGTCTCACTATGGGATGCGCCTCCCTGTGTATACCTCAGAAGCATCAATCTCATTACTCCAATCCTGATTGGCTGGTGAGTGCGCCAAGCTAGTCAGGACAATACCTTTTCTTGTCTATATATATATATATATTTACATCTGCAACAACATAGATCATACAGATCTGGTATCAACATTTTGAATTTCTAAAGGAAATGTTCCAAACTTGTCACTAGGGATGTCCCGATCACCTTTTTTTGCTCCCGATCCGATTCCGATCATTTGATTTTGACAATCTGCCGATACCGATTTTTCCCGATCCGATCTTTATGCAATGCATTAAGAGGAAAAAAAAGGTAACAGATAACGGCTGGTCATCCAACGCGATGAATTCAGCTATCTTGGCTGTTATTTTTTTGGCCTTTTCACTGTTCTGGGGTAGTTTCTCTTTCCTTTTAAAAGTCTCTGAAAGTGTCGGTTGTTTCAGTGCCGTTACCTGAGTGGCCGCTGTGTACTCGTCGTGTTGTTGTTGGTGGTGTTTGTATTAGATTGGTCATGTTGAACGTAGCTCTGTTCTTTCCACCATGCGGAACCTCCGCCTTGCAAACATTGCATCTGGCTGTTACACTGCCTTCGCTTTCAATTTTATAATACTTCCAAACTCCTGACATTTTCTCTGTCCCGACTCCCGAGTCACCAGCTGAACGTAGCCTCTTGTTAGCTTACTGCTACTATTAGACACTGCGCCCACTCTGTTGCCAGATTTGAGAGAAATAAGCAACCAGGTCTATGAAAACAAGCCCAAAAGAAGCAACACATACATGATGTTGTGTAATTTTAACCCAAAACTAAGGCCTCAGGATGACTTTAAGACGTGAACATGGTCATTTTTGTTTTGTAACATTAAATAAAATGTATAAAAATATTTTATAAAAAAAAAAAAAAAAATCCCCCGATTTTTTTCTCCCGATCCCCGATCACGTGAAAATCACGTGATCGGCTCTGATCCCCGATCACGTGATCGGATCGGGACATCCCTACTTGTCACTCAAGTTGTTATCAAAGGAAAGTCATGTATCTATGTCAGCCTAAATGTGCCACCACTTCCTCTTCCTCCTCTGCAGCCTGTCATTGACAGTCAGAAAGTCACATGAGATTAGAGAGGGATGCAGCAGAAATATGTAGCGTGAAGAGGTGATGTATCTTCAAACTGAATACTGAGGCACAAACACTCCTCCTTTTCCGTGTGAGAATAAGGCTTGTTAGCATTCATGTGCTGAGTTCCAGTCTCTCACACGTAGCAACGTCCTCCATTATTGAGCAGTTGTAAATGCTTTGAAGTTGTGCTGTTTGGGGAGTTTTTGTTCCAAAATAGGCTAGGAGCGGGAACGTAGGCTTTGAAAGGCAGAAATCTCAGCAACTGGTTCAGTAATTGCTGTGCCATATTGATCAACATCCTTTTTCTTGATTTTTCTCGGTTAAAGGATGATTCAAGACTTGCAGTAAATAGACAATACTGCAGCAGTGAACACCATCAGCCTGCTCTGCTCTGTCATTGAAAACAAGGTCAAGGTGACAGAGAATCTAATTGACGCTCGGCTCGACCCCACTGATTCCCCCAGGATGTTTTACACCATCACCACCACCACCACACAGTTACACCAAAGGCTCCGGCTCTCGTCTCATTAGCATTTGACCTCGTGGGCGATGCAAAGCTGCTTCATCTAATGCTTTTAATGGCCAGAATATATTCTGCGTAATTAAATTAATGTGTTGCCGTGCTTCTGTGGCCCGATGACGTAAGAATAATTTCATGGCAGCATCAGCATCAAAGTGGTTTGTGAAAGGCTGGTTTGTTTTTTTAATTGGGATCAGAAGCAAGTTTTTTAAATGTCCCATACATGAAGCATCTGCATGAGCTCATCACAGAAGAACAGGAGCAGAAGGACTAACACTGTCATATGAAACATGGTTACAGATCCTATTTAAAACAGGTTTATTCAGTATGGCCCACATGATAATTTTGGTTGTTTATTACAAAAGTAAAACGAAAGAAATTAACACAATTTAAACAATCATTTTTTTAGAAAGGGTGGACAAACTGAAAACAAGAAAGAAGTTGGGAGTTGTCATAGCAGATTAAATGCTTCATACTTGGTAAAACTCCAATAATTGTACAATTCAAAGTCTACTGCATATGTCAAATGTAATTTATAGAGCAGTGCTTGAATGGGTCCTTAACCCGCAAAATAGTTAGCATTTAAACCCTTCCAGTTTCCCTCTTAAGACTACTAAACATCATCACACCGAACATTAGCACCCTTATAAGCAATGGTGACATGCCACCATTTTATCACTTTAGGTTCCCTTGTCTCGAAGTCAACGTTTTTTCAAGAGTTTATGTAGATGCCTAAAATCGGAGTTTAGCACAATCTATACAGATTGTAACGGTTTGTTCTACAACATGAAATGGGTCAGTAAACAACCCACTCATGATCTCTAGCTTAGCGTTGGTAGAACCTGTAGAAGTCAGACACATTTAAATCTCTCTGCTCACATTGTCAGGTAAAAATAATTAGCTGTAAGTAATTTTTTTAAAGTGTATTCAAAAAGTATGAAAATGAATAATAATTTCAGTTTGCATTTAGGGCTGGACTCAAGGCTGCGCATAGACCAAAAAGTTAAAAAAAATAAGCTTTTACATTTTTCAAAGACACAACTAACCCTAATGTCGATACAAATTTGGTTGATTTGGGGCAAAAGTTTCAATATTATGAACTGGCGGTAATTTAGCTGTATACTGTTTACAATATATTACTTGTTTATCGTCTCTTGTACATAATCACATATTTACAACAGGGAAGCACTACAAGTGCATGTGATGTGCCCTGGTGACCAGACGTTTGCCGACTTTCCTGTTGTGCAGATTCTGGCTTGGGAGAATGTATTAACAGCAGTTGCATATCCTTCCAAACGAGCCATCTATTGTAGATTTTGTAGAACATTTTTGTGATTACTAGTATTGAAATGTGAAGCACAATGGTTGTAAATCTGACATCAGGGATTATCATTTTGAGCCTTGAAAACGCAGCCAGACATTTGAAGCATTTAGCTGATATGTATTCAGAGCAGCTTAGAATAAGCCTTAAATCGTGGTTCACCCACATCATAAGCAACAATTACAAAGGTTAAAGCTGCATCATTACCAAGCCAACAAAGGTTGCCCCCTCTGAATGTTGACAAACACTTAGAGCTGCACCAGAGGCCTGTACTACGAATCCAGTTCAACATACCCTGGATATGTTTGAGTTATCTGGCTTACCTAACCCAAAACAAACGCGCTCTCGCTAAACGGTACGACGCTGGTTATCAACTCGGTAACTCAAGCCAGGGTTTCTCTGTCCGGCTGAGTGCGCGTTCACATGAAAGGGGTGGGGTTAGCAACATTTGACCAATCACAAACATGGAGAAGCGTACTGACAGCGCAGCGTCATACTTCCTGAATGAAAAGTCAACTATAATATTAGACATATGAAGAAGTTAAACTTTAAACATCCATGACTTAAACACTTTATCCAGGATAAAAGCCACATAGCTGCACCTGCAAGGTGAATACAGCTGGTAAAAGAAAAAGTGTTTGAATGCGTACATTAACAGGTTTATGATATCACTGCCCCGTCCAAGACACGAGTGGATCTGACTTTAATTACATTTGACTCGAGTGTTTCGTCAACTTAAATTGTTGCTTAAAATAATACTTCTGCATACAGTATGTGACACTGTGAGTGTTGCACGGCCAGATACGGCTCAAGAAGCTGACTCAGATAAGGAAATATATGATACATTATGATGTGATATGATATGAATGATAATGGGACACATCGACGTCTGCACTCACAGTGCCGCGGACTGTAGGCTACGTACTGTTACTTTGATCCGGTTACTTATGTTAACTTGTGGCAGATATTTAAGTAAGCTTTCTTAACGCTAATGTTATAATAGTCAGATTGCTCTGAAGATGGGAGGGGATATTCTATGAATCTTCACATTCACACAGTCAGTTGATTTTTGCCGGCCGTCTTTCCTGCAACGGCAGTTTTTCTGTATTTCCTTTATCCTGTAATATGACTTGATAGCTTTAAACTCCGCACATGGAGCTCTGATTGGTCAGCAGGCGGTGCTTTCACTGAGTTGATCTCTTATCCTGGAACCAAACCTGCTCTGGAGCAGGTTAGCCATTCAGCATAAGTTATCATGGAGATCTAGCCCGGTAAGAAGAGAACCAGCGTCGTAGGACCGGAAACCCAGAGTTTTCCCTGAAGTTAGCTCGCTAAGCGAAAATCCGGCTTCGTAGTACAGGCCTCTGATGTATGAAAAATGCTATACAAATTAACTTTTAAAAATAAATAAAAGAGAAATACAAGGTTAAGTCCACATTTACCGAAGGTGTGAATTTGACATTTTTCTTCATTTTATTTGTATTCTTCTCACAGTGGGACTCGAGACGGAGAGGCCGAAGCTGAGAGATATTTGACCGCATGAAGAGGCCAAGTGACGGGACACCGGTCCTCACCTAGACCTCTCCCACGAACCAATCCCCCCCCCTCCCCAGCCCCTGCATGGACATGGTGAGCTTTGTCTTATATATTGTGTGTGTATGTACCTTGGCCCAATGTAAGTAAACTGATCACTTCTCTAGGAAGCAATTCATTTGAAGCTAATGCTGCAAATTATCGCTTTTTTTGAAGTTGTTTCGTCATGGTTAATTGCACCTAATGTAAGCTAAATGCTTAATGTAATAGTATGTAATGTTCTTAGTAGGGATGCTCCGATCGCCAATTTTGGGGCCAATCGCCCCGATCGCCGGAATCGGTATCGGCCGATATCGATCGCCGATCCGATCGAGTGGGCCTATGGGGATCTTCCATTTAAAGTGATGTTTAAAATTCAGTTAATGGGGCTCATTCACTGGCGCTTCCACAAACAACAACCAACATAATTATTACATTCAAATGATGTACATTATTCAAGTTTACATTAACTTTGGATAATACCACGGGAGAAATGAGCGGAAGCGCTCTCTTTTCCTCTCTCTCTCTCTCTCTAGCCCGTCAGTATCTCATGCAGCTCACTGATCCAGTAATGAGTGACCCACAGTGAAGAATAAATATATTTATAACTAGTTTAGCTTGTTCCAGAGGTAGATAAAATAGCTAAGTGTGTTAGGTCTAACTCTTAGTGTGTGTTTCGCTCCGCTCACCGCTCCGTCACAGCGGGTGGGGCTGCAGGATTTCTGCTTCACACACATTGCATACCGCTATTTTATTGTCATTTTGGGACACCTTAAAATACTGCCAGACCGGTGAAGCCATTTTGGCAAGCTTGTTTTGCCGCACACAGAGAAAAGTGTCATGTATTTTACGTCATCATTTTACGTCATGCTATCGGCTCTCGTGATCGGCATTTTTAGAGAGCACCGATCGATCGGCAGAGAGTGAGTATCGGCCGATATCGATCGGTGGCCGATCAATCGGAGCATCCCTAGTTCTTAGCCACTAATCATTTCATATTTTAAATACACCCATACTACCTGACCATTCATCAGATAAACTACATTTTGAGTGGAAGAGGACACAACTAGTAACTTCATACTGTAGCTCATAGGAATGGAAGGGATCTCTTGATGGTGTATTCCAGGCCATAGAAGGTTTTTAGCTTATCGTGTTTTATAAACTCAGTAAAGGTTTATTTTTGTTCCCAAGCCAGTAGCTGATTAAGTTTGCCATTTTCAGACAGCTCAAGCATTGGATTATCAGTCAGACCAAATAATTAATTGTAGGGATATTAGACGGTTTGTGGCAGCAGAATAACAAGAGGTGTGCCAAAATACTTGTTGTTGATTTGTCTCCTTTGTCAGATCCTGATGAGTATTAGGCCCGCACACCACAAAAAAGATCCCCAAGGATTCGAGTGAGAGGTTTTGACAAATGAATTCACAAAAAGCTAGGTTTGAGAATATCCCAACGCGATTTAAATTAAACTAAATAAAACACATTATTCTTAAACTTATCTGCAAATTTGATGAACCCTAATGTTTATGTGAGGGATCATTTGAAACGAGTATCCCAATTATAGCTCGCTCAACTACAAACCAACATAACTTAAAATGGTGGCAGCACTGATCGAGGTTTTCTTTAACCGTCCAAGTCTGTTCACATTTTCTTTTCCACTTAACACTCTTTAAATAATGCCAGAACCCATACCGTGTTCCCGTTATTGTTCACTTCCTGTATGTCTTCTTCTGCTGTTCCCTTTATTGTTTACTTCCTGTCTGTCTTCTTCTTTTGATTTCTCTGTCTTTAAACCTCTTTCCTTCTCTTGCGCTCTTTTTCTTTTTCTTTACTGAGGACAGTTTAGCCATCATGAATCCAAAGTGTTGGGCTCTCCACAAACATAAAAAGGAATATTGCAAAAGTATTCCATGGTGTTTTCTGATGGAGAAAACTAATGTTTGTTGTCCACTGCTGACATTAAATCAACCGGGCTTCTTTCTGAGGATTGATATGACTGCAATTAGTCCCTTGATCACATAGCAACAGTCATATTATGCTTAGTAGTGGTGCGTTAGTGAGTATTAACAACCTCTGAAATGTCCAAATTGACTAATCAGAATCGAGTATTCAACTAAGCGTGTAATAATTCCTATTTAAATACTTTGCTGTAGTTTTAAATCGGAATTGTGACTCTTTTATATATGTATATGTTTATATAATTCAATACCTGAAAATGTGATTTTCCTATAATACCACAATCAACGAGACAAGACATTGGGTTTCTTCAGGTGATTTGATGTGTGATGACTCTATGCTTTTGTCCCTTTTAAAATCCACAGATTCACCAAAAGTTCAGTTTTTTTGTTGGTCTTTTTCTGCATCTGAAAGATCAGAAGCCTAATAGAGATTTCTAAAATAACTTGCCTACTGCAAAGGTTTACAAAGAAGCGAAAAATCTCCTGAGATCAAAACTCCAGCAATATTGGCGGTTTTAAAAAAAATGTATTTACGCCTTCATCAAGGCCATCATACAACAGAGTCTCTTTGCGTTGCCAATGGTTATGTGCTTAAGATGACCCTGTTAAAAGTCACATGTTGGAATGCTTTAGTATAAAAAACGGGCAGTTGAACAGGTATACCTGATCAAGTGGCCAGTGAGTGTATATGTTCATAACATAGTGTGTGTGAGTTCTGTTATCTCAGATTTTATTTCTGCTTTTTTAAACGGTAGTATGTGATCATTGTTAATGTAAGCTACTGCCTGAATTTGCTAAATGAAAGGCAGGTTTCCCTATAAATAAAATATCTGAGCAGAGGAAACATTTTTCATAGTAAATATCTTGGTTACACTGCTTTTATATTGTGACAATAAGATTAGGTTACATTCTTTTACAGGTAACTATAACTTTAACCCTCCAGACCCTGCTAGTGTGTGTTAGATGCAGTGGTGAGCCGTGACTTTTATACCTAGGGCCTCTGACCCCCCCCCTTCCCTCGAAAAAAAAAAGAAGAGTTATTACGTCACAGCGGATACTTCAGCGGAATATCAAAACAACGGCCCGGGGTGCAAAACGCATCAATGACAGCGACCCTCTACCACACAAAACAACACAATTTAAACACCTATCATGACAGGGCACCCACAGCCAAGTAACAATTAAAAATGAATTAAGTCGGCACGGCGGCCCACATTGAAAATGACTTAGGCCTACCTTTGATGATCAAGTCACTTAAACACAAAGTCCATCCTCCTGTCCTTTTGGATGAAGTACGTGATGGCGGGTCATTCAGCTGATCCTTTGCCACTCCAATTTATCATTGTAACTCAATCTTGAAAATGACTCGGTTAATAATTTCGCAACGATGTCATCACTATCACTGACATGAGCCATCATGAACGAACTTATGCTAATCATAAATCTATCGATCATAAATTTATCGATTAGATTTATGATTAGAAAATTATAAAAGTAGGGTAGACATGTGGATATTATCCGGCTGAACAAAACGTGCATTTATCTAACAGGTTTGTTTTCCACAGACCTTATTTCAAGCTATTTTCCAAAATCCTATCCCATTGCTTTTTTGTCGAGGGAACCCGAGCGCAGCTTACTTCCGGGTTTTAGGACGCGTCACTGCACCACTTTATACACATGTATAAACTTCACAGCGGGCGGAACTTGTCATAAAGTCCGGGAAAATAATGCCCACCCATTTAGAGGGATGATATGATTGGTCAATTGTACTGTCATTTGACATTACTCTCGTTGAGTTACCCTAGCTGGCCCTCTGTGAATTTACAGCAGGACCACCAATCAGCTCCTATCTTCACAGTAACTCGCAGAGACGAGCTTCTTTAATTTAACCCTTCTCATTCCAACAGAAACTGAACAGGCAGATTCGAAGGATTTATTTCTTTGGACATTTTATTTTAGATACAATTAAATCAAGTTATTTTGGTAAAACTAATGAAAAATATAACTAAAAAAATATTTTAATTTTTTTTTCTTTTATGTTTTCAAATATTATTTTTTTGGAATATCTTAGGCCCTCAGAGACGGCTCGCCACTGGTTAGATGTCATCCTCTGAAGTAGTTTGATAGAAAGAACATTTATTTTTATTTCTGTGTGTGTCAGATTGAACTGAATGGCATCCATCGACAAACCCCGCAAAGCAATTCATTAAAGCAGTGAACGTCATTACTATGTAATTGCAGTGCGAGCCTCAACACCCAGATGTCTCGTAGGTAACAAATAAACAAGCCTGACGTGGCGCGGTCGTCCAGAATCAGTGTTGAGGCCGTGAAAGTCCTAATCTTTCATTTAGATCTTGTTAATGTTTGTGTGTACGTTTTGTGTGTTATGGCTGTTGACACCGGCCACACTTGCCTGTACACAGCCTCGAATGCCCCCGGCAGTTCAGCGAGAGATTAGCTAGGTCGTGATGAATGACCCTCGCAACTCCAGCACAAGCCCCCGGGAGTCATGGCCATGAATTATTAAAGCACCATCATAAATAACTCACCGTAATGAGGGTGTGCTTACACGCTGCGGGCGGGGAGAGAGGCAGGAGAGGAAAAAGGGGATCGGGAGTTGAAAAGGAATGGGTGATGGAGAGAGATAGCAGTTTGACCTTGGACTGGAAGCCTGGTTTGAAGCCTTTGGGGAATTCATCCACAAAAAACACACTGGACGCTGCACTAGGTCAGAAACCAGAGGAGACTGTGAAGTCCACTGTAGACGGACCACTTTTGGACAAAATGTACTCTCCATTAAAGGCAGCTCATTGTGGAATAGCCTCCCAACTGAGATACGGGATTGTCCCACTCTCAATAGTTGTAAAGGTCAACTAAAAGAATGTTCAGAAACAAACAGATGTGCAATCACCGCTAAATGCACTTTAACACAGGGGTATCTCCTCTTGCACTTTATGTAGCTCTTTTATCTTCTCTTGCACTTGTCGTTGCTGCTATAGTGTACTGCCATGTGGTAAATACTTGTGTATGCTGCTCTTGCTCTTTTGTACTTTTTGCATATCATGTATTTGTCTTTGCTATGTGTATAATTGTCATGTTTTTAAATGTTTTATGTGAGGGACTGCGGATGGAAATGAGCTCCAAGCTAAAATCTGGCATATTTACACTATTTGCATTTTCTTGTTTTAAGTGTTCATTAATGTGCATTGTCCCTGCTAAATAAACGATTAAATGAAATGAAATGGTTTGATGCTCGTCTGACGGGCACTCGGGCTTGTAAAAACGACTATGGAGCACATTTTGCACATCATCAGCCCTTACAAGTACATGGCATAAATGTTAATGTTAAAGGTCCCATGTCATGCTTTTCCGGTTATTACCCGTCCCCTTGTGTGTTATGTAGCTTTTTATGCATGTAAACGGTCTGCAGATGGGGGTGCTGCAGCCCCCTCAGCACCCCCCCCCTTCCCGCGTCCATTCGCGATGTCTCGCTGTCTCGCAGACCCCACGCAGCAACCAGAAAATTAACCCAGCTCACACTGTCCGCTCCTCTCAGCAGCGAGCCCCGCAACGTCCCGCCAACACGGCACCCAGACCCCACGCAGCATTCTCATCTGTTTGTCATTACTGGTGTCATTTTCTGGTTGCTAACGCCATTGTAACACATAATCACTGATGTTCCACTATAACGGTGGTGGACTCATCAGAACAGAGTGGGCGAGCTGACCAATCAGAGCACACTGGGCTCACAGGGAGCGGGGGGGCAGGAGCTCCAACAAGCCGTTTAGGACAGAGAGTGAATACACATACTATACAGAGATGCTGTATGAGAAACCAATGTGAGTTTGGAACATTGAACAATCTAAATCTATTCTAGTAGACCTCAACAATGGAATTATGATCAGTAGAAATGGCCATGACATGGGACCTTTAAGTAACGGAGGATGTATCTGGGCCACGCAGAGATTGGCAGCAGCGCAGGTCTCTTCAGGTGTTGCTGTCATCGTGCACGCTGGGATGAGCCTCGCTGAACACAAACCCCTGCGTTTGCACGTCTGAGAAGGAAGTCGAGGGAAAACAACACCAGGCATGCGTTGAATTAGAAACAGTGCGTTCAAGTTCAAAGACATTTATTTTGCTCTGGATTCCATACCAAGAGCATTGCTTTGAAGAACGACAAAGATGATCATCTTTCTTTTGTCCCTCAAACCCGTTTTGTGATGTTTAAGAATGGAGGACCTTTAAAACAGCTAAGCAAGCTGGTTTATAGCAGCTAAATAGCACCTGAATGTACACAAAATAACCTTCAACAATTACACAGCGAGCATTTGGAGGAAATTGGCATTTACACTACAAAATATATGGCTAGACATTTCCTCAGTCTTTCCATCAGATCTACTTGCTGCAGAGATTTCCTCCCATTCAGCAAAAGTGCATTAGTGATGTCCAACACTGGTGTCACTGGATAAGGTCTAGTTTACAGTCTGTGTTTCAGTTAATCCCAAGATGATCGATGGGGTTGAGGTCAAGGCTCTGTGCAGACCAGCTACAGGAGCACTATTTTTCAGGTTTCATATTTGTATTTTGTGTCTATACTGTGACATGTTTCAGGGAGGCTGTGGCTCAGTGGATAGTGTGCTGGACTTTGAAGGGGATAGCAGGTTCCAGTCCCACTGCAGTCAGCATGTCATTGTGTCCCTGGGCAAGACACTTCACCCCAAATTGCTCCTGTGGGGATTGTCCACAGTACTGAATGTATGTAACTCGTATGTAAAAGCGTCTAACAAATGACATGTAATGTAATGTAATGTTTCAATGCTTTAATGTTCAAAAAGGTCCTTATTTTGTATCATACTGCCTGTGCTGTAGTACCTCTTTTCATTAAAACGAGCAGTGTTGGAAGAGTAATTCAGATCTTTTACTTAAAGGGGACCTATCATGCAAAATGCACTTTTGTACGTCTTTTATACATGAATATGTGTCCCGGTGTGTCAGGGAACTCACCAAGTGTCAGAAAACACAACCCTCTTTCTTTTCCTCCATAACCAAATCTCTAAAAACGGGGCTGCAACGGAGCTGATACAGATTTGAATTGTTCTGGCGTCAGAAAAGGGGAGCTCCGCCTATATGGGCAACTCTCCACTTATCAGGGGAATGGGGGGTTGGGCCACGGCCGGCCATTGCCGCTCGAAAGCGCTGGAGACGCTGTAGTACATATGCCAGGCCTGTATGTGGCGCTGTAGTCTGCCACAAAAGCAGCAAAGAAGACTTCCCGCGCATGGTTGCCATGGTTGCCATGGTTGCCATGGTTGCCCTTCTGTTTATTCTCCGCTGTGGACGCTCTGGCTCTTTTTCTCCCTCCCCGAGGCAAGCGTTTGCTCCTGCTGCTGTAATTCTCTCCGGTTTACCACCAGCAGATGACAAACACCCACCTCTCCGCCTCTTCCAAGGGACGAGGGGACCGTGCGGCAGAGTTTCAGTTAGATTTTTTTTCGCCGGTCAACATGTCCGTTAAAGTTTAAATCTTCCGGACAAATTTAGAAAAGTGCCGGTCAAAGGTCTTCTTTGTTATTTATTGAGCTTTAAAACAAATGAATAACAACTCTATATAATAATATAAGAATAAAACACGGAGGACGGAGATCTCTTTTCCTCCCCCTCTTCTGAGAGTCCAGCAGCTGATTAGAGCACGCCCCCCTCTCCTGCAGGAGGGCGTGGTCAGCTGCAGCTCATTTGCATTAAAGCTACGTCACAGAATCAGCCCTTGCAAAAACAGGGCTGGAAAAGAGCAAATAGAGCGAAATGAGGCATGGCTAAAATGCATGATCTGTTTGGTATTTTGAAAAAAACAGACATGTTTTATATAGGTATGGCCCTACAATATATATTTCAAATATAGCATGATAGGTCCACTTTAAGTAAAAGTAAAAATGCTATGGTCTTAAAATACTCCAATACAAGTAAAAAGACATACATTCTGGAAATACTGTGTAGATTAGTAGTACAGTACTGCATTATACCATATCAGCATCATGATGTGTTGTCTGGAGCTGTGTCATTGCGCTGTAGCATTAATATATATATATATATATATATATATATATATATATATATATATATATATATATATATATATATATATATATATATATATATATATATATATATATATATATATATATATATATATATATATATATATATATATATATATATACTTTTGTGGGACTATTGTGTATAGGGCTCAAACCATCAAAAAACACCTCAAAGATTATTTTCGTATATTACATCCACATTTGGCTGACAAATTAGATATTCTGAATTGTCCTTAAGTTTTGAGCCTGGAACACAGTTAATTTGACCCAATAACAATGATAGAGCAATCCCAAAACCAGATCTGATAAATACCTAAAATGCCTGTTTGGTATTTTCCTGTGTACAAAGAAATTCGATTTTTCCAAAACCAACCCATTAAGGTCAAGGTTTTGTGGCAGTAAAGTTGTGCAGTGTTGTCATAATTAATCCAACATTTTGGGGACGTAAGGACATTTATTCAGCCGAGCTACGTATCTCTGCTTCCTCGACACATGTCGGCTCTGAAGCTTTGAGAGCTTTGAAAGATAGAAGATCTTATGGTCTTTTTTACAGTAGAATACTTTATATTTTTCATTTATGTAGTTGGCAATTATATATGAAACCATGATGAACTTCCGAACAATGTTGGGTACAGAGAGCTCGTGGGTAAATGAGTAATTCTGTTCAAAGACAGTTGGTATTAGTCCATAAGTTTTGATATAATAAACATCAGGTTCCCTTCATAAATCGGTACGTGCTCACTGACAAAAGTCAACGACATTACCACGGATGACATTTACGCTGATTAATGACAATGATGAGGAGGATAGACCAACTCAAAGGTCACACGTTGTGAAGGCCACAGGTTTAATTCCTGCAGAAGTCCATGTTTCCTCTGGATGTCCTTGAGTTTCAGTCTGAACCTGCTCCCGCTGTGGAATTCATACTGCATCAGCTGGAATGAAAACCTAAAATAAAAAATGACCATGTCTTTTTTTCTTCTCTCCTGAACCCAGAGGTCTTTCAGATCGTTTGCTAACGACGACCGCCATGTCATGGCCAAGCACTCCAGCATATACCCGGCACCAGAGGAGCTGGAGGCCGTCCAGACGCTGGTGTCCACTGTGGAGGGAGCACTAAAGAAAGTCTCTGATTGGATGGATGGACTAAATAAATCCTCAGGGAAGACCTCCAGCAATAATGAGGCTGGGGACATTCAAGTGGAGGCAGACGCTGCTGAGACAAAGTATGTCCTGCTGAATGTGCTGTTATTTTAGGGTTGTTTTAATGTTCATACCGTGATGATTTAAAGCTGACAGTTTATACCGTTCTGTCCAGAGAACATCTCTTCTTTGATTATAGTAAGATGGTCCTGCTCAGTGGGGAAGTTAGCTGAAATGTCTAATTTTTCAGGTTTCATTATTATATTATCTGCCTCTACTCCTGTGACATGATTTAATGTTCAAAAAGGTCTTTATTTTTCTCATACTGTCTGTGCTGCAGCACCTCTTTTAGCCATTTCCTCAATACAGTGCTACATCCTTTCCCTCATAAAACTGTGTTCTGCTGTAAATTATCATCAGGAGGGAACATGTGATGATTGGTTGATTAAACAAGCCCAACAAGAAATCATAAATCCTCAACGTTTGGCACGTTGCCTGAAAATACACACAGAGGTTCTGTACTCAGAAATCATCTCAGACAGGATACAGAGAGGAAGCTGATTTATAGAAATAAAACACAACCAGGACATAAAAAAATAAGTATATTGTATTGTTGATATATAGGAGGATGTCCAGTCAGCAATGTTTTTGCAAAGAGAATTACCAGAATGTCTCCAAGAAGAATCATTTAAAAAACCCTAAGCAAAAAGTGTCAGTTCACCCAGAATACCAAAACATATATTTTTTCTTAAAGGGGCCCTATTATGCTCATTTTACATGTTTACATGCTTTAATGTTCAAAAAGCTCTTTATTTTTCTCATACTGCCTGTGCTGCAGCACCTCTTTTCCCCCTCTGTCTAAAATCTGCTCTGATTGGTTAGCTGGCTGGCTCGGTTGTGATTGGTCCACTAAACTACAGTAAACTATGCATAGCATTAGCATGTATCTATAACAACCTATATGTTTTCTAAATGCAGTGGTTTATGGTAGCATTAAATGAAGTGAGCATAGCAAGGGCTCCTTCAACTAAAAGCAATAGGATTTTTTAAATGAATTTCAGAATATTGCAGAATATACGTTTCTGTTTAGATTAGATTCAACTTTATTGCAAAATGCAGTTTGCATCAAAGCAGAAAGTGCAAAGAGTAGGTAAAGTGTTAAATGTTCCAGTATCTGTGGCAAACACACGTTTATAATATATTTTGTTCAGCAGGATAACCTTCACATATTTCCAACACATTTATGATTTTTGAAGCATAAATGCAATCGCCAGAAGTAAAAAGCTAACATTAGGCTATACACTAAAAACATCACAGTCTAAATCACCATCAGTAAGCTAAAGTCTGCCTTTGTTTGGTGTTATGATACACGGTTTTCTCACTTGTTAGCAACCGATACATAGAAGCTTCGGACATTTATGAGAGGGGTATTTATTGACACGTTTTATGTCGTAGAACAAAACGTGAAAATCTCGTATAGGCTTGTGTTAACCACAGACCTTATTTCTGTCAAAAAAGCCTTGAGGCGAGGTAACCCAGAGGGGCTTAAACGGTAACTTCCAGATTTAGGACTCATTACTGCACCACTTTATATACTACCATCCCATATGATCTTATTTTAGCCTCCTGACCAAAACAACTGTTAAAAAGAAAACTTTGACTTGATTTCCGGAGTTTAGGACTGATTACTGCACCACCCCATAGTTGCAATAGTTCTCAACATGTATTTGTGTCAGCTTTTCTATGTGAACAGAATAATCTGATGCTGGCTGTCCTCCATCTTCCCTCAGGCCCGACCACACGCCAGCGCTTTGCGGGGTGACGCGTGTCGGTCTGGTGGCCAAAGGCCTGCTGATCAAAGGGGACATGGACCTGGAACTGGTGCTGATGTGCAGGGAGAAACCCACCAAAGTTCTGCTATACACCATCAGCGCCAACCTCCCCCTGCAGATCCAGGTACCCGCAGCCCACCTGCAGCACTGCAGTGTTCAGCACTGTGCATCCAGAATGAGCCATCAAAGCACCACAGAGGAAGCAACCTTGGCGCTCTTTAAAAGGCTTCTTTGTGATACTAGCTTCAGTGGAAATACTTGTCCACAAAGAACAACCAGAAAGTTATTTTTTTGTGACAAAAGAACTCTGTCAGGTGACATGAACAAAAGACATACTGTACCTGAAGATCAGAATAATAATACTAATGGCACATTTAGTGGACTTATACATTCTAAATGTAGCTTCATTTGCATTGTGCAACACTATATATAGACATAATGTACGGTAATAAGAAGGTTTAAAAAAAGAAAAAAACTAACATTCTTATGGTTGTGTGGAATTTCAGCAGTGATGCACAAATTGTCACTATGTTTACACATTTAAGTGATAAATGTCCCTGTCCTTAAACCTAATTTAATATAAGTAAAAGTAGATGAAAATTAAAAAAATATTATAGAAGGGAATTACGATTTATTAACTTCGTAATCGTAGCTTTAGGCAGATTATAATACATTATTAATGCCAAGAAAATAACATTTTAATAACACTACCATCATATATTTCCTTATCTTTTAAATTGTTATATTCTTGCCATAAACAACCATATATGACAATTACTATAAAAAAAAGGGCGTAATTTACGTGGCAATTGATAATGAATCAATAATTGAATTGTATTGATAAAATGTTATCAATTATCATCCCTAGTCTAAAGGGACGGTCTACACAGCCAAACAAATACAACATAGATCAGAAGAATATTTAATTTTCCAATAAAGTAAAAGTGCACCAATTGTGGGAGACATTTTCCCTCTCCATTCATTTAACTGAGCCCCATATCGAGAGATCTGAGGCTCAACAAAAACTCAAGTGTTCATGCTCTATTTGCCCAGATATGGGTACTTTTTCGATCTATAGTCACTCCATTTAGGGCTTCATGTGTCACTGAGCAACTTTCATAGACATGAACGACGGCCCGCCTCCGACGCTGTATGCAGTTTTCTTTATACATCCTTAGTCCTCGATGGCAGCTTCTATTACTTCTGAACAGCAGAATTTAAAGAGTAAAGATAGAATTCTTGATAACCGGGATTATTAGCATTAGATTAGAAAAAAAATGTTAGTTATTAAATGAAAACCATCTCAAAAATACCTGTGATGTGCACTATTGTGTTGTTTTTATTTCAACCCACCTTTTATTAAAATCAAATACTGCTTAAAACATTTTTATGACTGCAGAACAAGTTGAATTCATTAGCAACACAAACCAGTTCAAGAGTTCAAGCCTGAGTAAGACATGTTCCTGTCCCCAGAATAATGATGAATCATTTTCATGAGCGAAATAAATAATTTCTCAGTAAGGAAAAACAGATTTTTATTCTTTAACCAGATCAAAGGATGCTTTTTGGTTAGTAGAAGAAGACTCAATGATAGGAGATGGTTTGAAGTGGATATGAAATGAAACAGGAAGTGGCACTGAGTTTTATGTCTGTCTCCCTGACATGTGTAAAGCCCAATCTTCAGAGCATGTGGACCCTTTCTTTACAGAACTAACTGTTATTTGTGATTTCTCCCTGCAACACTATGAGCCTTGTGGGTTATCATAAGATCTCTACCCTTCAGATGAGTTTCAACAGAGCCCCACCCCCCTCTTTAAGCATCTGCTAGCTAACATTGTCGACGTACACAGTGCTTCCTGTGCCCCCCCTCTCAGTTAATTACCTGCCATATCTGCAGTGCCGGCTTCATCATAAACGGAGGAAATCGTTTGAAGCTCTCATTTCCTGGGCCAAGCTGTGAGAGATTGACAGGGAGAGGGGTGATGGATGGGGGTCATTCCTCGCAGGGAGAGATGGAGCACTTGGCAGCAAAAAAAACGGGAATCGGAAAAGCAAGATAGTTTGGCGTGCTGGGAATTGGCTGGCAATAACAACCGGGGTTCAAGCTGTAAATGAAATGTGGTGGTAAACACAACAGTTTGTGTGCCTTTTGCTGCTTCCACTGGCAAGCAAAGCATAGGAAATCAGGGTTTGTACTCTTTGGAATTCTTACCGTTGCTTGTTGATGGGGTCATTAGCTTGCAGCTAGCAGTACCCATGTTGCTAATCTGAAGAAATATTTGTGTTCGTGTGATGGACTGAAACTGTGTTGACATCTGAGTAACGCCCTTTTACAAACAAATGTAAAAGTCTGTTTCTGAACTGCACTGCAGGTTTCATTGGGGTTTAATATGAGTTGTTACAATTAAATGCCTGTTGTCAAGGCAAATAAAGTACATTTCTGTAAATACAAGTATGTTATGTGTAGGCCACAGACCTTGTTCAAACAGCTTGTCCCAAACAGAGTAGAACAGCAGCGCCTCGTTCTCCACAAACAGCAGCAGTCAATGTTTCCACTGTTATTTTCGATTCTTAATTAATGGTGCAGCCCTGCCTTGCAGACAATGACGGAGGACAAATTCGAGGTGCAGTCGTGCGTCCCCGAAGCAGCCATCCGGGTCCGCAACACCAAAGACCCTCGACTCACGCTGAAGATCACCCTCTCCTCCTTAACCATGAGGGAGGAACGCAGCCCCACAGAAGAAGGTATTGACCCCTCATCCCCTCTGCCCCCCATGCCTTACCCCCTTTTACGCTTCCTGTTTGAGAAGATGCTTGCTTTTATTTGAACCGTTTCCTGCCAACAGAGGAAGGATTATATAGAGGGAATGTGAAGGTATAAAAGTGCTATGAAACCTGAGCTTTATGTGAAGGATGATACATTGAGAGAGCTGAGAGGCCAACAGGGGAAAAGGAGAAGGGACAATATGGATCTGGGTCAAGTGTAGGGGAAATAGCAGATGGCTGGTGAAGGATGATTTCCACAGGGGTTGTTCTGGATTGGGATTGGGGGAAAAAGGACACGTCTGTCCCAGGTGTCCTCTTCTATATCATCCTGCATCTGAGAAAGACGATTCAGCTATCCAATAATCAGAGTATAGTACAGGAATTTAAAGAATTCATCTTTAAAGAAAAGGAGCTGGGTGTTAGGCAAAGTTGACGTTCACTGTGTTGCCGGGAGCATATAAGGATTTATCCACGATGTTGAAAATGTTTTAAAAAAATGTTTAAAACATAAAGATAAAAAGGTTTAAAAAAGTTGTTGTTTAATGTTTTAAGGAGGTGATGCTACTCAGCCAATCAAATTGGTGCAGTCAGTGAGTCAGCACGATAGATTGAACACACACTCAGAGACGAGACAAGAGGAGAGAAACAGTCGGAGTAATTTCAAATGGCGTGCTCCAAAAAGAGAAAGGTAGACAGCGAAAACAGAGCATTTACTGACATTTTCTCTTACTAGTAATAGAAATAGTCAAATACTAAATCATCTGGGTTTTAGGACTCATTCCTGCACCACTCTATTGGGCAGCGTTAATATAGGCAGAGATTGTTTTTTCTTGTTAACAGATCAGCTGATCCCATGAAAGAGATTAAAATCTCCCAGTTAATTGTACCCATTTTTGGAAAGTTCTTGCACACCAGGAACAGTTATTGACGGGTGTGCTGGATCAAAAGAACTCACACTTTGACTGTATTTATTTGTAGTGGTGAGTAACAGTCTAACTGATGCCCTCTGGCTCTGAATGGACCCCTGGTGTGAAGCTTGCCTCTGCTCACTGACTGTTGGTTTTGTTGCCGTAGCTCCGCAGGTCAGCGCTGTGTGGATTGACACTTCTCTGCGGCCCCGTTGCTGACGAGGCGCCCCCCCCCCCCCCCACAACCCGGCTACAGGAAACCCCGGGTACAAGGGGCCTCCCCAACAACTAAATCAAACCAACCCTCTCACTCTCTGCCTCAGACATGCTCCTCTTACCCCCCCTCCACCCTCTCCTCTTTTGACTGGACTTCTCTCTGGGTCACCATGAAATTCTGGTCCATGTCTACTACCGAGCACATAGACTAAAAATGACTCCGGCTTCTCTGCTTTAATTACAGGGGATGACCCCTCTCTGGTGTTCAATTTGCATTGGCTCAAAATGACATCCCATAATTTCATGTTGTAAAAAAACGGTGTTAATTAAGTTAATGTGATGTCCTGGTCACTAATCAAAATTCACCTAAGCTGATGATGTCAGGGAGAATTTAGTAGGGGTTGTCCTTATCTGTCTGTGGTGTTGACCTGTGACTGATGGTTCCTTTATGGCGTGCCTCTAGGAAACAGCTTCTGAAAAGCATCAATCATGCCAAATAAATGAATGCATACATACTTGAACAATTCCCCATCTTTCACAAAAGAGCTGGAATATTCGTGTTTTTTTAATTACCATATTCAGGTTATTTCTTAGTATCTTATTTTATGGAGTCTTGAGTGTACCACCTAAATAATGTAGTGTTTCCTGACTGAGTGCTGCCGCTGCTGCTTTGAATTAGATCTAATTTAATTTGTAGGTGGGCCTCAGCCTACACGTTTAACATTTAAAAATAATTATATTTAAATTAAAGCTAATCGAAAAAAGAGACTAACTGTGAATGCAGGGGATGGATTAATTTGCGAGATGAAACGTGATTGGACAGACAATGTAAGTAGGCAAGCAAATAAGGGCTGTGACATTACATTTTTTTCAATGTACATGCATACATTTCATATGAACAATTATATGAGAGTCCCATTATTATTGACATTAAACATTAAACATACTGTTGGACTTTAACCTTGACCCGACCTTTAAGCTGCCTTAAAAAGCAAGTGTGCTGCTTAACCATCTCTGCTGAAGCAACACATTATTCTATATATATATATATATATATATATATATATATATATATAGAACTAATAATGATAAATAAAATGTTATTAATATTTAAAACTGAGATGCTCTATATTTATTCCCATGGCACTCTCCTTAGGTTGTAGTTATAAAAAGGTATGATGAAATCCCTGACAGTTTTAATGTTTATCTTGTTAAGTATTAACTTGGGTCCAAAACTTAGGGAATTACTGCACAAGACAAAAGCTTCACCTTCAAAACTTTATAAACTTACAAGAATAAAATTCAACAAAAGTATTTTGCAACAAAGTCTTTTTTCGGAAATAAATCGTAATTTAACGGCTTTTTTTGTGATTTCCCTTCAATTCTCAATTACATTGGTTTCGGAGTCTCCATGTGCACAAAGGTAAACTCAGATTATACCTGAAAGTGCCGAATTAGAGAAGTTTACTCTTCCAATGCCACTAATAGTGGTAGATATTTTACCCAGAATTCCCAGGGGCAGAACATAAAGGATCCTAAATCTTAGGTCTTAGAGGAGTGACACTGGACGAACCCTGTGTCTCATCAGCTCCTTCTTTGTCTTCCACCTCTTCCATCCTCTTCAGCTTCTCACACGGTCTCTTCAGCAACAGACTGCCAAACCACATGCCGCTCACATTACTACTGATGAATCACACACACACACACACACACACACACTCACACATTGGAATTTTAATACTGTGTGTATCTAGAATTAGAGACTTGACTGTAACCTCCTCTCTAGGAGCCGGAGCTTATTTGAATGCTCTGTGTCAGCATTACTGTCAGCCTGGTAAAAAATAGCCATGATTTAATCTTGGCTGGCTGCTGCTCTTTAGAGAAGAGTTTGTTGAACCATAAGGCCACTGATTCCACACTGATGAGACATTTATCATCATCTAATATTTGCGACTTGGCAGGCTGAAGATAATGTTTCAATTCGCTATCGCAGATTCCCTCCTGATGATTCACTGATAGCCTGTGAGCCGTCACCACTGAGCTCCGCAGTGTGGTTTGCAGTCTGTTCCTCCCACCCTTATTTGTTCGTCTGCTTGACTGTCCCACAGCGGGCACCCCTCAGCCGCTCCCGAGAACAAACGGCCTTCACTTTCTTTCCAGGGTGGCGTTCTCACTCAGATGTTTATGTTGTCCTTGTCATCTGCTGTCACTCTTTATTCTGCTGCCGTTCTCCCATGGCTCGCCTCCAGTCTTGGCAGGAGCGCTCCCCCACAGGAACCCGTGTGGAGAGACTGTGTCAGTCAAACATAAACATCTGACCGGCCCCGCAAGACTGAAAATACTAGCATGGCGCCCCCGAAAACTGCAGCATTTTTTTTTATTTAAGCGGGATGACTTCCCCTCTCTTCAAGTAGAATTGCTAAAAAAGCAAACGAAAAAAAACAAAGTGAAACCAAGAGAAAAAAAAAATCGTTAATTTGTTCCCCAATCGTAATGAGCCAGAATTTCCATTTGCATCAAACGTGCCCCTGTTCCAAAGTGTTATTATAATCTTTAATTTGGCTTTTGGCCCCCTGTTTTCGCCATGCTTTCATTTTCGTCCTGCGATGTAATTGATAACACACTAATCCGGCGTGCTCCATCGCCTCCAGCCACTGATCTGCATCTAGAGTGAGACTCCGGCCGGGCGGCATGTGCTCACGTCTACTCCGGTTCCTCCTGTCGATGTCATGAAAGATCCTGCCTTGTGCATGAGAAACCCACCCCCCCTCTCCCAAAAAAGACAAACAAATGTACAGAACCTCTCAAATGTCCCCTTAGCTCATTCGGTCAGATCAGTGGGTTTGACTAATAATTAGCAACCCCGCTGCCTGTGTGTCTGTTTCTGAGTGTGGGAGGTCACGCTCAGTCTGTCCCGTCTCACCCTGTCCCGTCTCACCCTGTCCGTCTCTCCAGAGAAAGGCCATCAGGACGACAGGAAGCAGGAGGACAAGAAACAGAAGGAGGATGAGGAGGAGGAGGAGGAGGAAGAGGTCCTGGACAGGCAGAAGTGCCGGGCTGCACTGGCTTCACTCCGACACACCAAGTGGTTCCAGGTGAGCACATCTGGACCAATGACACAATCACTCTCTGAGCCCGACCCTGAATATGCAGTGAATGTCACATTTGATTACAATGAAGCACAATCAATAAAGACAGACTTTTTAAAAGCTTCAGATGTACTCATTTGTAGGCAGCAGCTGTTTCATACACAGGCTACAATTATTAGCTTTTTTCATTGTGATAACTTCAAAATATATTTATATATATATATATATATATATACTTTTGCTGTCAGAAAAGAATATGTATATATAAATTAGTGCTGTCAATCGATTAGACATTATAATCCCGTTAATCACAATAATACTCTGTGATTCATCCGAAGTACTTAGCACATATGCTGGTGCTGGTAGTATTCTATTATGAGCACTATGTCTAACTCCTGTGCAACTTCAACAAACTGGCTAGCCCATGCTTCTGCAGTTAAAGCAATTGAGTCTAGTTTCCATTTGGCGTGGATTAGGTGTGTCATTACATCGAGGTACTAATGTCCAGTGGTCTCCAGTCAGTGCAATAGCTTGTGCAGATTCCTCTGCTTTATTTGCTTTTTTACTGCCATGCAATTCATGGTAAACATCCACGCTGGAATTACAGGAGGAAGTTTTGTCCAACTTGTTGATGTGGTTAATTTGGGTTCATTATTTTTTACGTCTTAGTTTTACCAGAATAAGCGCAAGGGTTAAAGCATTAACGTTAAAAACATAACTACATAATAACAGGTTTTAAATGAAGCAGAGACATTTTAATCTGCTTTTATATACTAATGTGTGGCTGCAGCTGTTTTAAACCTGTGTTACAATGATTTGCTAGTTAACCTGTTAAGTGTAAATTCTTACCTCCGCCTAACAAAAAACCATTACTTATAGTGGAAACCACCCTTGGATGATGGGTTAGTAGCCTAAAAGCTTTAGGAATCCAAATTATAACATATAAGTACCCTGTATCAAGATTGAGGCAAAACAAGTGAAAATTGACCTTTTTAGAGATATTTAGGGAAAAAAAGTCCAGGCGGACTAAGCTTTGGGCACATCTGGTTCCATCAGTGCCATTTGACCTTTTTCAGGTACCAGACTGTAAAAATCATTTTATAACATTGAATCATCACTATAGTTATTCATTCCATCAAAAAAAAAAGAAAAAAAAAAGAAAATAAATTATTGTAAAATTTAACCTGCTAATTATTGTCATGGATTTGAAAACTGATGTTGTTTATTTGCTATGTTCTGGCTGCTAGCTCAGTGAGTTCTGGCCGTGCAGTGATGAGACCTATGCCAATGGAATCTGTGGAATCTCAGCTTTCAGATGATGTGTTGTTTGTGCAGAAAGTATAATTATAAATGATCATTTTTGTGAGTTATGAGCAGAAATAGCATTAGTCCGTATTTGCTAAGGGCTCATTGAAAGGCTTCTTGTGGGAATTATTATTATTATTTTTTTTTTTTTTTTTGTATAGTCAGTTAGCTGAGTTTCTTCCCGTCAGCTGGGTGTGGAACATTAATAGTTTCATAAATGACACTTCAGAGATCACACTGGTGCTAGCAGATGTAGCATTTTCGGACCCTTCGGCGGGTCCGTGGGGTTTAACAGGTTAAAGGGGCTTTATTATGGTTTTTGAGGTTTTTTCATTTATTTCATTTTCATTTAATCGTTTATTTGAAGAGGGACAATGCACATTGATGAACATTTAAAACAAATAATGCTTTAAAACGTAAACATGCCGGATTTTAGCTTTGAGCTAGTTTCTATCCGTAGTCCCTCACATACATTTAAGAACATGACATTTATATACATAGCAAAATAAATACATGATATGCAGAAAGAGCATGAGCAGCATATAAGCATTTACCACATGGCAGTACAATGTAGCAGCTTTCCTTTCCTATAGTGTGTTATATAGGTTTTTGTGCATGTAAATGGTCTGCAAACCATTGTCACTGTCGGCAGAAATGGCCTGTTTCATAATTGTAAGTGGTTTGTAAGTATGTAATGTTGCATGTTTTCTCAATGGGCCCATGTGTTGTCCAGTTGGTGAAGATGTTACCTCATTTGCATGTGTTTTGGCACATCTTTTATTTATTTATTTTTTTCATAGTTTTTAAAAGTGCAGCAAGTTTCTTCTAATGTACTGTAGGTGTTTGAGCGCATCTGCCCCAGTCTGCCACTGTACTCATCTAATGGCATTATTTTAATGCACTGAACTCCTAATGTTGATGATGACAGAAGTGGATAGAAACATGCATTCATTTGCATTTTCTTTTGCTGATTATTTTTGAAATTCAATTTAAATTCAATTTAAATTCACATTACCTATCATAAATAGTGGTAGTAAAGTAATGTGTGCGCATTACACATATCCAGCAACTGAAATCATTAAAAGCACATTAACTGGCAGGTAAGAGAAGAGAATAGACAGCAGGGAAATGTTTCTGTTCTGTCTAAATGTTGGAGGAAGAACTTGGCAGAGTGCGATGTAACTGAAGGTCATGAAGAGATTCTTAACCAAATCAGGTTTCAGATGAGCTGAGAGTTATCCAGCGCTGGGGAGACAGAGGAGAGTCAAGGGCAGGTGAGCAGCTTCCCTGAGGGAAGGAGAACCAGATGCAGAGTAATACCACAGTGAAGGGCTGCTCTAAAGGTGAAGCAGAGCAAGGCCGCTTCCGTTTCATCATATTCACGCGGGTGTACTGAGCCGAGGACCTCCACCCCTGTAATTACTGCAGATGCCCTTAGTGGCCATCCTCTCGTCCAATCCGCTGTAAATGAAAGCACCCGAGTTAAATCACCTGCTGTATTTGGAGGAATATTCATTTGGTGCAAATTAGAAGTCTCCATTGTCTCTAGTTTGATTAGTTTTTTATGTTAATGTCATCATCTTTAAGGTTTTATTCTTCAATTTCCATCAGATTAGATCAGAATAGATTATAATAGATTATATAAAATGAGGATGGATTCATTGCACTTGAGGTACAAATAAACATAAACTGTTAATGTCATAATCTTTAAAATGACATTAGATGATATTACATTAGATTAGATTCAATCAAATCAGATACAATTAGATTAGACAAAATTGGATCAATTGATTTTAAATAGGAATTTATTCAATAAAAACTGATCAGATTTACATCAAATTAGATCAGATTTTAATTGGATAAGATTGATTAGATTGAATTATATTAAATGTAACTTCATTTATTTAAATTAGAATAGATCAAATTGAATTATACACATTTAAATCAAATAAAATGTGATAAGATTAAACTTGATTAGATAACATTAAATAAGATTGAATTAGATTATATTTATTTAACCCTAATTTAATTAGATTAAATTAGACTAGATTAAATAAAAATAAAATTAGATCATGATAGATCAGATAATATTCAATTAGATCAGATTAGATAAGATTTGCTTTATTTATTATTTTAATTATGTTGGCTACAGCAGCAGTTGGACATACATTAACAAAGGAATTACAAATATCAATAATAAATTAATACATATCTAGTAGAAAAACATATATTTATAAAGCATCTCTATCACATACAAAATGAGTTAGTAAACACTATGATTGACCAACAAAATATAAACATAGGATACTATATACAGTACATTATATGAGTTAGGAGTAGTTGCAATCTTTAAAATAAAATGTAGAATTGAAATGCAATTTTTCAAGCTTCCTTCCTTTTAATTTGTTTAGGAACATGAGACCAGGGTTGTAATTATATTTTCTCTGGACAAACACTGGATTTCATGTGGGTCATCTTGGGGATTTCCATTGGTTTTATTAGTTCATGTATATTCATGTCACTAAGTGCAGAGATGTCCAGTGAAACTTTTGTCATAATGGTCAACCATATAATACTCCTGCCACGGCTTAAAAATGACTAGTTTCCCTATAAAGAGGCAAAGCATGTGGGGGGGGGGGGATAATAGAACTACAATACATGGCCAGGATGCCTGACACAGAAATGTACTTAAAAGCATTTCACAGTTGAGTGCAGGGGGGAGAGGACTCAGCATTGAGTGCTTATATATATGCTTTTTATAGAGTACTGTACATCAGTATTGGAACAAACATTACATTTCTTGAAAATACTACTTGATTCATTTTAAAGAGGCCCCATTTTACACCTATGTGTATTCTTGGGTTACATTTTCACAATAACAAAAACACAATACTGCTTGATGTTCTTTGATTCCAAATGAGAAGACTCTTATGCTGCGTTCACACCGGACGCGATGCGATGTTTGGGGGCGGCGCGATTACATGTAAAGTCAATGCAGAGATGCGGACAGACGCGAATTCGCTCCGACGGTGAGCATGAAGCGGTTGATGCGAATGTTGCGGCGCGATTGGAGGGGGCTGCGACCAGTGGCGTCGCCTGGCCTGGGCATCCGGGGCTTTAGCCCCGAATGTTTTTTCTGTAGCCCCGGACAATTCTCCCTCAATAATAATATATATACATTAACCGTGCTTTACGTGAACCTCATCATGACACAAGAGAGGACGGCAGGACTGTAATTTCCCGTGTTCAGTGAATGCAACAGAGGCATGACACAGACCAATCAGAGAGTTGCATGGAAATAAACGTGTGCTTGTGTCATTCAAGCTCGGCTCTGTGTGTGTGTGGCAATAGCGCATTTTTTGTGTGATAGAGAGAGAGAGAGAGAGGGAGAGAGAGAGAGAGGGGGACCGGTGCCAGCAGGGACCGTGTTGTTAGCATCTGGTTAGCTAGCTGATAAATGGACATAAGGAGCTGTTTGTTCCACAACAAGCTGGAGGAGAGTCCTCTGCTGACAGACTGAGAGACTCAGGTGAGCTAAAGGACTCTCTGAGTGTTTAGATAGTTTACTTTAGTCTAAGTTATCTCAGTGGGTCTCAAACGGTTTGGTCACAAATTATTCAAAAGATTATTTCCGCGGCACACTTTTATATGATCATTATAGTTATAAAAAAAATAAAGAGAATAAAGGAAAAACAGTTATGAAATACTATATGGCAGTAAAACAAGAATAGAGTTTAAAAGGGGAGTGATTTGTAAAATATCCTTAAAGAAAAAGTAAATCTGTTTACAGTTCTGTTTCAAATGGGTGTTGAGAGATGTATCCATAGATCTCTTAATGTTGCTCTCAAAGTTCACCAGATTGATTGCTTTTAACTTCAATATTTAAAAAAAAATCTTCCCGGGGGAGCATGCCCCCGGACCCCCCTAGAGGAGGTTAGGTCCCCCCCCCCCACTCGTAAAAAATAGCAGTTTACCCCTGCCTATATGCCTGAACTGATTATCGAGCCTTCATTGTAACAGTCGCGGGTATACTGTGTGTGTGCGTGTGGGGAGTGTTGCAGTAGAATATTCCACTGTAGCTCCGCCGCCACTGTGGGCTAAGCCCCGAATGTTTTCAGGTCCAGGCGACGCCCCTGGCTGCGACAACCGCTCGAGTTCAATTTTTTCAACTCGAGCGTCAAAATCCCATGACGCGATCTCGCGGTAGCCAATCGGCGGTGAAGATCTCAGCCTGCCTTCACTGACGTTGAACCAGAAAACCAAAACATCAGCCGTTAGGTGTTAGCACTCAGAGCTCACAGCTCCTCATATCTGTTCAGAAACTGGACAAAAGTTACACAAAAACCACAGACTGTCTGTGTCATGGCGAATACAGTATCAGTATGTTGTTACTTCGGCATCATTTAGAAACGTGCATTACAATTTAATCACGGTAAAATATGTTCATTTTGTTATAGTTGTAGCCAGCCCGTCTTGTTTGAATGATGCAAGTAAACACAGTTGATAGCCGCGGTGAAACTCGAGCGTTTAGAGCGATGCGATAAGAGCGATTAGAGCGAAGCAAATATTCGCATTGCGTCCGGTGTGAACGCAGCATTAGACTTATCAGCATTTTAAGCATTATTTCTCTACTTTTATATTCTTAATGTTTTGTTTATTTATGCTATATTTAGCATAAATATATTTTATGAAATGTTTATTACTTTTTTTAATTTGTTATGGGGGTTCTTGTTTTGGTTATTCTGGTTTGGGTTTATTTTTGTTCATTTATAACTATGTTGCAACTTAATTTTTAAGAATGTATTTTTCGATACAATGTTTATGACTATAGATTTTAATTTATTGTGAAGGTTATTGTTTTGGTTGTTGTTGTTTGGGATGAGTTTTGTTAATTTACAATTATATTACAAATAGATTTTTGAGGTATGTTTTGAACACACTGTTCCTCATTTTCTTCTATTTATTTATATTAATTAAGGTATTTTTTATTTATTGTAGATGTTCGTGTTTTTGGTTGTTACTGTTTGGGTTAAGTTTTGTTAATATCTAACTATGCTCGAAATTTCAGTTTTAAAAAGTGTTTATTATAATTTATTTATAGATTTTTTTGAATGTATATATTTGTTTGTCTTGGTAGGGGGGTTCTTGTTTTGGTTCTCTTGATTGGGTTGTGTTTATATTTATTTTTATTATTTTTAAATACATTTTTATTGTTTTATTTCAATTTATTTATTTTGTTGTTTCTTGTTTGGGTCGTTCCTTGCATGTTTTGTTGTATAACTTGTCTTCCTCAAAGCAAATAAAGGTACTTAAAAAAGATAATTGAACATTATCAAATTAGATATCAAATGCAGGCTCTCACAACAGTATTTGTAGCAAAATTACATTTTAGTGGTCTTGAAAATGCTTCTTTAGGCGCTGCAGTTCTACTATCTCTGAGCTTGAATACATATCCTATTTCTGATGTGTGCTGCTCTGCTGTGTTGCTCCTTGTGCTGACACTCAGATCTGTTTGTCTCTCTGTCTGTCTGTCCCCTCAGGCCAGAGTCACAGATCTCAAGTCTGGTGTCATCGTCTTGAGGATTTTCAGAGACATGAGCAACAGACTGGCTGGGTGGCAGCCTCTCAAAGGATGGGTAGGTGGCTCCACAGAATCTGAATGAAGTCGTACAAACTGTAAACTACACAAGTGTCGTAAGCTCTGTGTCCCAGGACCAGACGCGTGCCTGGAATTGCTTTAGTTTGTTGAGTGTCCTCTCTATGTCCGCAGCCTCTGGAGCTGATCTGTGAAAAGGCCATGGCAACGTGTAACCGGCCCCTGGGTCCAGGGGAGGGCCTGCGCCGCGTCATGGAGTGCATCGCCTCAGGGATCCTTCTTCCAGGTCAGGGATCAGTCCTCTACTGCAACCTCCAGGCCCCCTCTGTGGTCTGCATTTACACTCTGCACACGATCACGTTAGTTTAACATCGTTTGTGAAACCCAGGATGAAATGTAGGTGTCTCACCATTTGCTTGGTGTGTATGGTGCACACATAGAGAGAAATACAATTGTACGAAAATTGACCAGAACTATTACAATTTTTTTTTAAACCATATAAAACATAGGGAAATATTTACACAAAATATAAATACAAAAAAGACCTAGTACAGTAACATATGATAAAATACCCGGGTAAAATAAAATATGTGCAGTATTGGAATTTAAAGTGGAAAGCTTTGCAGATTTAAGAAGGGGTAGTGTTTAACAGAAATGTGCAAAGGATGTTGGCAATATTAAAATGAACAATATTCGTTCACATGATGTGAATACACTTAAACCATAGTGTTTACAGAGGGGGTAAGAGTAGTTAGGGTCCCAGACCTTGTTGATGACCAGGCCTCGTATAGAAAGATATAAACAGAGGTGAACAGAAATCTCCATATCTTTATTTATTTTTCTATTTGCAAATGTGTCTCTGCAAATGTAGGTGTCGTTAAAGAGTGTATTTAAGAGGCCCTGTTATGCTTGTTGGGATTTTCCCTTTCCTGTATTGTGTTATATACGTTTTTGTGTGCATGTTAATGGTCTGCAAAGGCTAAAATCCTAAAGTTCCCTCCAGAGGGAGTTTCTCTCCCACACACTCCCCCCTGCCTGAAACTTATTTTAAGCTGCTTTTATACTAATTTGTAGTCAGCAGCTGTTTAAAACCTGTGTTACAATGATTTGCTCATTAAAGAGGCCTTATTATTCTTTTTGGGGGGTTTTCCCTTGTGCATGTCAATTGCCTGCAAACCACCCTGAAACACCTCCTTTACACTTCTTTGTATACCTTCCGAACATAGTGACGTAACACTCATGCTTCTATTGGTTAGCGCTCCAACACATTGTACATGATATGGTAAGGGTAGGACAACTATAAGCGCTTGACCAATCACAACAGAGCCAGCCAGCTAACCAATCAGAGCAGACTGGGCTCTGGTTTCAGACAGAGGGTGAAAAGAGGTGCTGCAGCACAGGCAGTATGAGAAAAATAAAGAGCTTTTTGAACATTAAAGCATGGAGACATGTCACAGGAGAGGCACAAAATACAAATAAGAACCAGAAATTGAGCAAAATATGTCCTTAAGGTTTGGATTTGAAAAAATAATCCAAGCAGTCAGATTTGTGCAAATGTTATATTCAACCTCAAGTAGATTGAACTGGAAACTAGAAAATACATTTCCTGCTGAAAATGCGTGTGAATGCTGTAAACTGTGAACATTTGTGGCTGAATTTAGCTGAATATGTTATTAGTTGAATGGTCTCTGTAGCTGCTTTAAGCTACAAAAACCAAGTACGTGTGTTGCTGAATTTAGCGGAGAAATGCAGAAAAGTTAAATGATTTGAATCAAATTGTTAAAGCTCAAATGCATTGCAATGACTTTGTTGAAAACTTGAAAGTGAAATGTTAAACTGGAAGAGTAGAACAAATAGTGAAGAAGCTTAATATTTAAAATAAATGGTTTAAAAAAGGTATAAACAACCAAATGTTGCCCCCCCTCCGTGGATCTGATGCTGTCCCCTCACAGGAAGTGGGAAACGGGAGAAGACCTCTGGACACCACGCTGTCTCAATGATCTACACTGTTAATATGAGAGGAAAATATTAAGTTAACAAATAAAACACAGCTCAGGGGCAGTCATGGACGGTAGGTTTTCCTACAAAGAGAAGTAGTAAACTCAGCCTCCATTGATTTTCATATCAAATTAGCGTGTTAATAAAATAATCTATCATGGCTTATACTTGCATATCTAAACAGAATCATGAAAGCATGTTGGTAGTCCGGCACAGGAGTCCGTGTGTCTGACTCTACCAACATGCTCACAAACTGCTAGCTAAGTAGCTAACTGTCCCTGCTGTTAGGCTACTTAGCTTGCATTGTTATGGATCTAAAGGTAGCAAAAGCTAACTTTCATAGCACAGCTTTTCTTTACTTCTCACTTAACACAATAAAGAAACAGACCGTATAGTACAGCACAAACAACACAAATGATCAATACTTACATATATTTTCACTTGTAGTATTATAATAATTGAAATGCTGATTCTTCTGGGGGTGTTCTATCCACGCTCAGCTACCGCACCGCAGCTGCCTGCACTGTACAATCACTGGAGGACTGGGCTGTCACTCAAAAACTGAGTAGCCAATGGGGACGCACCCCTGAAAGTCCCGCCTACCTGGGACATTTGTGTCAGAATCGAAAACAAAAAATGAGGGAGCGCAAAAGAGAGAGCTGCAGCGAGAGCAAAAGTCTGATCATTGAGAAAGAAGCAAAGAGAACAGCACACAAAAATATATGTTAAAACAAAGAAAAAATACTTATAGTTTACATGATTACACAAATGATTTGTTTGCAACTTATAGTTTTATTTTTAAATTACATTTATTTTGCTTGACTCTTGCTTTTCTCTCTCAAACTCTTAGTTTTGCTTTATTCTGAGAAAGTGTTCTTTTATCTTTATGAAACAAAACTAATCCCATATTTACCAAGCTCCAAACTAAGTTAAATATCTCAAAAAGTGTAAAAGATATCAAAGATCTGAATAAGATTGTAATGGCTGAAGGTCTTGTGATCATTTTAAAGTTGGAATGAAGTCTAGTCTAGCATTTGGCGCACGGTGTAGTTAAAAGAGGATTGTAAGGTTCCTCCCATTGAGTTACATGTTAAAAAAAGAGTTTAAAAAGCGGAATATTTCAAAAAGTATTAAATATTTTGAAAAAGTTGTTTGTTTCCCATCAGGTGCTGAAAAGGCTGAATATTTTGATATTTGAATGGTTTCTGTAGCTGAAAGTAGGCTGAAGTTATCGGACTGCAAAATATTGGTTGAAATAATAATAATGAGAAGATTAAAGATGTGAAGAACTATAGTGGAATGCTGTTGCATACTTTTTTTCCAAGTTGCAATAAATAACCAAGAGGCTCACAACTCAAAACAATAGAGTGGCGAAGTCCCTCCCACTTACTTCCGGGGTATGGGACCTTATTCCGGAAAAGTTATGCATTGAAGTCAATGGGGAGAGAAAACTTATCTTTCGATCCCGTTTGAATTGTGCCATGAATTACACATATGATGTTTGTCAATCTTAAAAAATCATTTCCATGTCAAAAAAGTCACAGTTTGTCGTAAAACTGTTGAAATATAAGACTATGAAAAATACGTAACTAGAAAGACTACAAATCCCAGAGTCGCGTAAGTGATGTCACAATTGTTTACCTCCACCATTCAGATACCTAAGATCAGCGCAATATAGATATAATCTATCTATATGGCGCTGGCTAAGATAAGATAACTTTAACAAGATGCCTGTGTGCTTAGTACCAGGTTGTTATTATACCAGCAATGGGTCTTGCTCGTTCTTTTGCTTCCCATCTGATGAAACGACCAGGAGTGGCTTGATCAAGTTAGCTACCTAGCTAGTAGCTAGCACGTTAGTTAGCATTACAGCCTTGTCATTTTTATTAGCCTTAACATGAAGTAACATTAAGTAACCCAAAATGTTAAACAGTAAGAGTAGTAGTCATATTTCGTGAACCCTTTGAATAGTACTGTCACCGGTGTGATCATTCTATAATACACCATTTAATTCCGGGGGAGAAATGCTAACGCTAACGTTAGCATCGGCGATCTTTTCTACTTCATGCTATCTGCACAAATGGTTGACATTAAACATTAAAACGACCAGGCAGTTCAGAGAGAATCAAAGGAAGGCAGGCTTTGCATGACATTCTTCAGGACGTGTTTCATTGTGGTGATAGTCAATCGTTTGTTGACAAGACAGTAGTGACGGCCATCTTGGTGACGTGTGTGGTTGACCAGAGATGTAGTTCATTGAGCCTTTCACACAAACAAATGTGTTACTTCACAGTTTTACGACACATTTTAATTTGTTTGACTTGCAAAATTATCTTTTAAATTGACAAACATCATATGTGTAATTCGTGGCACAATTCAAACGGGATCGAAAGATAATCTTTCTCTCTCCATTGACTTCAATGCATAACTTTTCCGAAATAAGGTCCCATGGGGCTCAACCGGAAGGGGAGGGACTTCGCCACTCTATACCAAAAGTCAAAACATGTTGGCAGCAGGTTTGCCCTCTGAATCATTCAACAGTTTTAATCTTGTAAACGATGAAATTACTCCGGCCAGGAATGAATACATGTCAGCCTTCAGTGGATAAGAGCTGACCGTAGTGATTGGATCCAGTACTCAGACTCTCTGCTCAGAGAGCAGCGAAATGAAATTACAAAGTTTGACACTGAAATTGAAGTGAGCAAGGACACTGAAGGAGCTTTATAGCCCCATCTGAAGAGAACAATTAATAAGAGGGAGTATTTAAAATGATGATCCATTGTTTTGGTCAGTGCACCATTATACAAATACATGTTTACTACTTGTATACTACTTTTAAGGGAAAGGGGCTTTCAAGTACATAAGTCATAAATGAAATAAAGTGGCTCAATATCTGCTGAGTTCTTCAACAAAAGCTTGCTGAACACATTGGTCCTTGGAAATATTTTAACAACCATTTCATGGATATCCATAAAATGCTTTTCAGACATTCAGGTTCCCCTCAGTTGGAATTGTAAAAGGTGTTACGATGATGATTTAAGTTCTATTTGAAAATGTCCCTGACATTTATTGTCGGGGCCGCCGCTTGCGGACAGGCAAGGCAGGCAACTGCTTGGGGCCCCGGACCAGAAGGGGGCCCCGGACCAAAGAAGGTAGATTAAGAAGGTCCACAGCAACGACAACATGAAACACCCTTTAATTTACTGCAACGATATGTCGGGAAACCCCCTCAAGGCGGCCCCATGCATAGCGCGCCGTAAAATGCTGCTTCTTATCTTAAGTTTCGTTGCCTTGCTCCGCTGTGCGTGGTGATGAAAAGCTGGTTCGAGGGGCCCCCAGTGAATGTTTGCCTAGGGCCCCACAGACTCTAGAATCTGCACTGTTTATTGTCATGGGAATGTCTTCCTGTTCTATTTCAAAAATGGAATCCCACTTAATAAAGACATATTATGTTCATCTTCAGGTTCATATTGAGATTTTGTGTCTCTTCTTTGTCGTGTTTACATGCTTTTTAATGTTCAAAAAGCTCTTTATTTTTCTCTTACTGCCTGTGCTGCAGCACCTCTTTTCACCCTCTGTCAGAAATCACGAACAATGTGTTAGAGCGCTAGCCAATAATAGCGCAAGTGTTACATAGTGATGTTATTATGTTGCGGAAGTAAACAAAGGAAGACAATAAAGGCGTTTTCGGGAGTGTGTCTGGAAGGAACTTTGGGATCTTAGACTTTGCAGACCATTGACATGCACAAAAAACCTATATAACACACTAGAATAAAGGGAAAAGCGTAATATGACCTCAGTCTACAGTATCCTACAGAGCATTAATTGGGTAGTATAGATTCCCTCAGGGCTCCTTTAGTGGATTAACAGCAACATGAGTGTGGAACTCTTTCATTCAGTAAAAGTTGGTGGTGAATTATTTTTAGAGAGATCGAATCCACCTTCTTCATCCTCCGCAATTGTAATACTGGAGCAATCCACTTTAACAATGTTTTTTACTCAGCTCCAATACAAGAAAATGTTCTCAGGGTTATTTTTTCCTTCCCCTTCTCTTTCTAATCCATATTCCGGCAGCTTCCGTGTTTGATCAGTGCCGAGCGTTAGCCTTTGTGATGATGTGATTGGATTTTGTATTCGGGCTTCGCCTCAGCGTTGAAATGGCAGGTTGTTCCCTGGAGTCCCTGAATCATTGATGAGTTCCTGCTGCATTCAGAGTGTACACAGCAGGAGTTGCTTAATTATTTCCGTGTGTGTTTTCCTGTAAAGAGAAATTAAAGAGGGTTCAAAGAGTGTGTTGCTGTTTGGAGGACTCTCATGTCTGAGTCACAACCTTTTCCTCTACAGAAGGCCCCGGAGTCTACGACCCCTGTGAGAGGGACCCCACAGACGTCCTGACTGACCTCAGCGCGCAGCAGGCAGACGCCATCACTCACAGCGCACAGGTCAGTCCTCTTTACCCATCAGCCCCTGCTGCCGTTAGCTCTGCAGTGATTAAAGCCAAATCTTAAAGCAGAAGGAATTTAAGTCCATAAGCATTTACACTATCAGTGTTTAAGACGTTAACTATAGTTAGTATTTTAAATTTCAGTAAATGCTGATTATTTCCTCAACTAGCAGCAATTGAAGCATCTTGAGTGTCTTGCTGCTAGCCCAAAACCCAATGAGATGTCTTAATGTAGGAAAATGAAATGCTGCATGTTTTTAGATTTGAGAAGCTATCAGTATCAACTATTTTTTGCTATAAAGATTAATTTATTAATTTATCAAAATCTGATTGAGTTACAGTTAAGGTGTTTCCTGATAAAGACGCTGTTAGGTCGAATACCAGTGTGTGCGTTCAATCCAAGCAGCAACCCCCAGTGCTAAAAAATACCCTTTAAATCCCAATGTTAAAATGCCCACCTGCACAGCAGAAGTAAAACATGTTCAGTCAATAAAGCGTACCTCAGGCTCAATGTAGCAAATTCAACTCTCAGGGGTTTGTGCTAAAGAACACTCTCGTTACGATCAAAATAATTTAAAAAAACATCAGTTTTTTAGTTGCTTTTGTGGTTTTCTCCTGTCACAGAGAGACAGTGTGTTTTGTTGCTGCAGTCCAGGAAGTTTAAGCTGATACCTTTTTGGTTTTAATTTAGGTTTAGGAGGTTTATAGTGCTCAAGGGCACTTTTACAGGAACACAGGAGCATTTCATCGACATCCTTCTGTCTGCACCGGGAGCATCGATTAAGACGCTCTTGTCTTCGGCCTCAGGGCCACAGATGCTCCCAAAGGTGATCAAGTGACACACACAAAAAAAGTTCACCTTGAAATTCATCAAGTATGGGATGGCAAAATCTGTTCAAACTGGAGCTAAATAATAAAATACTAATACATTTTACATTTAGAGTGCTTTTTAAGATACTAAAATATGCTTTACATAATATACATTTTTAAATCGAAAGACAATCATTAAGAACAACACACCTCAAATGTAAAACAATAGTAATTTACACAATAAAGAGGCCCTATTGTGCTTTTTGGTGTTTTCCCTTTCCAGTAGTGTGCTATATATAGGTTATTGAGCATGTACATTTTCTGCAAAGGCTAAAATCCCTGTGTTCCCTCCAGAGGGAGCACAGGCAGTATGAGAAAAATAAAGACCTTTTTGCACATTAAAGCATATACACATGACACAGTAGAGGAACAAAATCGAATGATATACCTGAAAATGAGCATAAAAGGGCCCCTTTAAAAGCACCATTGGAAATGTGAGTTTTGAGCTGCTCAAACAACAGAGTGATATGTGAAAACCAAAGAGAGGTGTGCATGTAAACTCTTTTGTGTAGCTACAGTAAGACTTCTTCGCTGGAGATGAACTAATGTAAAGCCACAGATGTGTTCCGAATATAGACTTTCTTACATACCTTCCCTTATAGGAAGTCTTTCATATGAACTGCTGCTTTATGGACCTTGTCTTTGCACTCTGCCCCTGAGATTTATAAAACTTCCCTTCCTGTTTTCCTGCTATAAAAGCTGAGTATAATCATTAGCTGGGCTGCGACTCTTGAGACTTTGAAACATCTCACTGGGGTTCACTTCCTCTCCGCCGAAGTCAGCATTTTCTTTCAGGAGACCGGACGAGCAATGCTCTCCTGATTGAAGGAGGTTTATTAGAAGCAAGCCCACTGCATTACCTCAGCACTATAAATAGCTGAGTGGCTGCAGAAGCCCCGGACTCTGACCTCGGATCAGCAGCCCCTCAGTGTAGCGCAGGCTTGATGAACTAGGAAGCCTAATTAGCCTCCTTAATGAGCGTGGGAACACTCTTTCCCGCTCACACCCACACAACTACTGTACCACCACCACTGCTGCTGCTGCAACGCACAACAAAGTCTGCCCCCGGGTGGAGAATGGGAGCTAAGCGCTGAGAAAATAATGAAGACATCCTCAATTCACATCTTCCCCTCTCACTCTGTTCTGCCTTTGTTTTGCTCTCTGGGAATAAGTTTCTTTCTTTTTCTTATCTCCTTCGTTTGAGTGTTTATTCCCCTCCTCTATAATGCATGACGTTTCTCCCAACAGAGTCAGATTGTTTACACAAAGTTTGCCCGGTAATTACAGCGCATTGATCGGAAAATAAATGATATCCATGCTGCCTGTTTTGACTGCACACTTCTGTTGCTCTACAAATACAGAGACGTGCTCTTATTCTGTCTGGTGTGTGTTTGTGTTTTTCAGCATGCGTTACGCCTCCTAGCTTTCGGACAGCTTTACAAGGTCTTGAATATGGATCCTCTCCCTGCCAGCAAGCCCTCACCAAGGCTGTTAGAAGGTGTGTGTTCAGTTGTGTTTTCCTGTTCATGTGAGTCTCATATACTGTATACGGTCGCTCATTGCAACACAAAAACATGGCCTCTTTTCCGACTATCCTGCAACATTGATTTAATTGTTTAGTAACCGTCCTAATCCTTTTCAATTTATTTTGGCTGTTCCCATTATTTTTATTTTATCATTGTCTATATTAATTTTTCACATTTACAAGCACAAAAAAAGTGTTATGTTTGAATTTGCCAGTAAAATAGTTATAGTTGTAATCTTGTGTTTACCGTTTGAGTATGGGCTTTTAAACATACATTGCCCGATCCATCCTTTCTCCAACCAATCAGTCGATCCATAGACAATTCACTGGAACCAGAGACCAATAAGTTATATAGAGATTGACACTCGATAACGTCAAACAAATTTGATGCCCTGTTTTTGCAAAAGCAGATTTAAACACCTAAGGATAAACCTGCCAGCCAGCTAACCAATCAGAGCAGACTGGGCTCTGGTTTCAGACAGAGGGTGAAAAGAGGTGCTGCAGCACAGGCAGCATGAGAAAAATAAAGAGCTTTTTGAACATTAAAGCGTGAAAACATGTCACACTAGAGGCCCAAAACATAAATGAAAATGTGCAGAATAGGGACCCTTTTAACCAGTGCGTGTACACCTACAGTACTAAGAGAAGTCAAAAAATACATGGAAAGAGAAAACATGGTTGCTGTAATTAGCAAGAAAAAAATCGACAGGAAGTATAGCCCAAACAATGCTGATTAATCACCCTAAATGCCCTCAAAGTTGAAACAGTGAACTCACAGAATTGTATTTGGTGGGCTTCTTTGTAATGTTTATTTGACCATTTCTATTAGATCAAATTGTTTCCTGAGATGACACATGCTGCTCAATTTGCATGACCAGACAAATGAATTTGCAAACATTAATTAATTTGGCGTTATGTGTAATTTGTTGTGACAGCAATATTGCAACTCTGTTGTGTGTTTGTGTATCTTTGTATTTGCATTTCTTCTGTGTGTGCCCGTGTGTGTCTGTATTCAGATTCCTATTTTCATCTCATCATTTTATTTCATGTTTTCGTACTCCCCTATGCAGTGTACTATTCTGTTTGTATTCCCTCTGGAAAAAGATAATTACAATAACAATGTGTTGTTGCTGACATGAGTGTCTTTGTGATGTTCCAGGTGATCAGTGTGTGTGTTTGCGCTCCACAGGCGGCTGTCAGAAGAGGCACCGGGAGGACGTCGGGTCAGATGACAGAGACTTCATCAAAAGGATGAAAGGTGACTTTGAGCATCCACTCACCGGTGTAAAAAAGGGACATTCTGCTCACATGATTTTAATTCTCTTTCTCCCAACTCGTAAACACACAGCACACACCACAGGGGACTAGTGAAAAATAATAATAACCAAAGACCGCCTAATAAATGCGTTGGCCAATAATCAAACACTGGAATCCATGTCTGCTGATAGCGTTCACAGTGTCTATTTGAAGCCTTATTTTTATCATGTAGCATTATTAATTTATATAACTTTTCTTAAAGGGGCCCCATTACAGTATGCTTTTGGGGTTTTCCCTATCCTGTAGTGTTATATAAGTTTTGGCTAAAATCCCGAAGTTCCCTCCAGAGGGAGTTTCTCTCACTTTTTGGAAAATAAATCTAAAAGGGCAGGGATCCTATAACCAGACCATACATACCATGCCATAAAGGGTATCAGGCCTTCAGTTTATTAGAAAGCTGTCTTGCTCATTTTGACTCCCCAGAATAAAGCTTAGCGTTTGTCTGTTAACAGCAGATAAGTGGATATTGATTGAAGAGATTGTCGCTCAGTTGTAGCTAATGACAAAGACACAAAGCCCTGTTTTCACTGTTTGTATCTGGCACAGCTGTTAAGTACAGTCCTGTAAACAAAGTGCCTTCTGACAGGCGTTGTGTAAAAGGTGTAAAAGTGAGAGTCAGTGGAGCAGAAAGAGGTGAGGCTAAGCTTTTCTCAGAGATCCGGACGCTCTCTGTGTGAGGATCAGAGCGGCTGTCAGACGGTATGCACTTCAATCTCCGCTTCAGAGGAGACAAAGTACCCCGGCTCGGCCTGGATGTGGCCCATTGTAGGCCGCCGTTTGAAATTCAGCAGTCGGAGCTGATATCTCCTCAAGATCATATTAGCAATCCACTTTAGTGCAGTGAATTGTCAACAGCTTACTGTATCCTAAGAGGCATCATTCACCGTATCACCCAGCTGCATGAAACCGGTTCAAAAAGCTGTTAAAATTCTGCAAGGAGCTGTGGCATTTTAAGTGAAATGTTTCCTCCAAGCAGAAAATTGTGTGGCGTTATCAGATTTCCGAGTAGCTGCGATAGAGAGGAAAAGGGGAAATGGAGCTGAAAGACGCATTCACAGGTTATCAGGAGTCTGTGTGTCAGTGTCTTAATGTCATGTCAACGTCAAAACTGTCCATCAGCGCCATCCAGGTCTTCATCAGACATCTTCATCAGATCTGCGTGCTGTGCCCTCAGCAGTGTTGGGGTTACCACGCTACAAAGTAATGTGTTGCTGTAATCAGATTACATGTCTGTTACGCAGTAATGTAACACGTCGCTGTTGATAACAGCAGTAATCACATTTCAGTTACTAAGCACGGCATTCATATTTGCACTAGATGGTTGAAAGGAAAACATATTTTAAGTTTTGTTGACAAAGAATTGAGAGTTTTTCTGGGAGGTTTTTTTAAGGCTGATGTTCAAACAAAGAGCATTTGTCATTTGATTTATGGTGCATCGCAGGTGACTAGTAAAGTGACTAGTATTGTAACTAATTACTTTCATCAGTGAGAAATTGAGTAAAGTAAGGCATTACTCTTTTATAAAGTAACTAGTAATGTGTTATGCATTACGTTTTTTTAGTAATTACCCCAATTATGGCCCTCAGTGATGGCCCTCTGCATAATGTGCGTAACACAGGTTATATGCTCTGATGGTAGTAGTCTTGCTGCCGCTATCACACTGAAGGCACTATCTGTTCCTACAGTGGTGACCCTGTACTCTATCTTCAATAAACAAGCTATAGCACATGCTTCAGCAAAATGCATTTCCTCCGTTTTCACCAGTTCAGGTGTGCAGTTATACCGAGGTAGTGCTGGTTCTTACTGATGTCCAGTGGTCAGTCAGTTCAATACATGTAGCTTTTTCCGGTTCCGCTTTCTTTGCCTTCTCACTGCCATGCAATTCATGGTAAACCTCCACTCTGGAAAAACAAAAGGAAGTTGGGGTCAAACTTTGTGATATGATTAATTTGTGTACATTTTTTATACGCATCAAGGTTTCCCAATTAATTGCAATCTACAACGCTTTAACTTTGACAGCCCCAGAAATAAGTTTAGATAAGACTTATTCCCTAAGGGGCACATTGACTTGTTAAAGCATAACAAATGTATACTCTAAAAGGCTGTATTTATTTGAATGCAAATAATAAATTAAAGAAATAAGAGAGGTGACATTAAAAAACGCTACAAACAATATAAACATTAAAATATGCACAAAAGAGACTGATGAAGGTTTGTTATTGTGGATTGTCTTCAGATTTGGCCGTCCTAGCAACGGTTTGACTCAGATCTGAACACACGCACATGAAACACACTTGTTTAAATTCAGTGTGACTGAGGACATCACTATCCCAGCTGCCCTTCACAAACAAACGTCCACAAATCTGCGTGGAAAGTAATCCAAAAGTACACTTGTTAAAACTCCAGAACTTGCTTTTGAATATTCACGTTTTCACGCTTTTTTCTAAATTAAACTCATTTAAAACGTTGTTTTATACTAGTGCAAAAAAGGTTGAATTGTGCACTTCTGGTAGCTTAATGTGAACTATATACAACAAAGTTATGAATAATGTGAAAAGTTTATGCAATATTGTATTCAAGTGTAAATAAAGTTTTATAAAATAACTGTAGTATACTGTAGGGCAGTGGTTCTCAACTGGTCAGGCCTCGGGACCCACTTTTTACTTGGTCAATACATCGCGACCCAACATTTTGAACCACTCAAATCTATTCAACAAAAGATCGTGCTGTAATATATACGCTTTTGAGCATACAATATTAATACAAGTGAAGTACAGTGCATATATCCCTTATATCCCTTCACAGAACTAAAGTATGCTTTTAAAAAAGGTTTAATGAGATGATGGAATCAAAGCTGAACTATATAAAAAGGCTCACATGCTGAAACCCAACCCCAGCAGGGGGGTCTGGGGGGATTCTCCCCCAGGAGATTTTTAGAAATACTAACATAAACTACGCATTCTGGTACACTCTGAGAAGAAAATCGGGCCTTCAAAATAAAAGTTTGACTTTTTCCCCCAAAAAAAAAAAAAAAAAAAATTCCAATTTTTTTTTTTCAACTTTTTTTTCTTCACTCACACATCCGCGACCCACTCGAAACGGGTCCGCGACCCACTTTTGGGTCGCGACCCACCAGTTGAGAACCACTGCTGTAGGGAATACAATTATTTCCAAAATATATACCTCATCGTATAAATGAAAGAGAATACCATGATCATATAATATTAATATGTAAAAATACAATGAAGAATATAGTAGCAATATAGCATTAGTATGTAGTTATCTAAGTTATGTAATTTAGTGTAAAAATGAAATCCTGCACATGTTGAACTGTGACTCCCATTGTAATAGAGTGTGGGTATCATGATTTAAAGACATTTACATCAGATTGTTTCTACAGCTACATTTCAGCATTACTACCTTTTTTTGGCGGCTCCTGCCATACCCTGAGTTAAAGTTATCAATGTTTAAACATTGATTTTATGTCACTTAAATGTCTAGATAACGTCAACTGCTTCCCTGGACACTTTGGCGTCTTTCTTTTCTTACAAATGTCCTGTTGTTTAACACCCATGTATGTATGTGTGAATGTGAGAACTGAACACAGTTGGAGGCTGGACTTATTTTACTCCTATGAAAGTTACTCAGTGGCTCATGACTCCAAAATGGCTTGACTCTTGAAAAGGACCAATAGAGCATGCACACTTTTTCTTAAGCCCCGCCTCCAATCCGCTGAGTCACGGCCAGTAATGTCTCAGTCAGATTATTGGAGAGGGAAAATAATGCTGGACTCTGCTTTTAGCAAATGTACAACTTTTAGTCCTTAATGATTCAAATAAGAGCTATTCAGGTGTTATGTTAGTCCTGGCATGTATTGGTACCAGGACTTACTGGTTTATTTGCGTAAAAACAAAAGATAAACACACGTCTCGCAATGGAAGTTTTTCAGATCAAATTACATCACAGACTGGCACTGATATGTAGTACCACCATTTTGCCACTAAAAACATAGTGTGTGTTCCCTTGCAGTATTTTGCATTGCTTAGGTTTGAATTTTGCATTCCCATGGATCCATAATGGCACTATTTTTGGCTATTCACACACATGTCTATACCATTGCTGCTATATATACAAGTGTGGCTGACATTGATCCTGTCTGTCACACATTATTTTATAATGATCTGAACAACGATTGCATGCAGTGTTTGTCTGGGTGCTGTGAGTTGAGCTGGTTGTGATAGCTGAGTGTGTGTTTGATTCCCCTCTATTTTGGGCTCCAGTAATGATTTGGGAACACATCTGTCATGGCTTTCTGCTATGCTAATGTAAATAGGAGCAGTAACGAGATGTCACAGAACAGCTACAGTAGCTGTATTCCTATGATCATTATAGATTCCACTACAACTGCAGCAAAAGTCCAATTATTTATACCTACGGTCATGCATCATGTTAAGTAAAGCAGCAACGATACGTCGACTGTTCTGCTCAAATTGTATGCCCGTCTAGTATATTAGTAGCAGAAGCCAATATATTTTTAATAGGCAGGTAGTTGGATGCCTTATTCATAACTTTGACATTCAAATACTGCTCAGCTTTAATTCATTTTGTTTATAGGCGATTTTTCTGCACAGTTGAAGAAAATGATTAGAATGCTAATAATACTATTAGTATTAAACTATTTATACAATTATATTCCAGTGCTGGCTGCATAGGAGTGTGTGTGCTCCAGAGTGTTGTAAAGTCTATATTTATTGAAAAATGATTAATGTAATCATATCCAAAATTCACAACTTGTCTTTATCTAACAAAGTATTAACATCAAAATTGCAACAAACTTACAGCACCATTAATTAAATGTATACAAAACAAAAAAATCCACTTTTTTTCCCTTTTTTAGGGTGATGATGGTTTAAGAGTCATATGAGTAAACCAAAATAAAAG